ACCTTCTTCCTGCTACCTCAAGACCTTGCCAGGCAGTCCATATCATTAACTACAGTCTCAGTGGACAATTCTAATCCACTTCCTTGTAGAAAAGTGACAGTTACCCCTTCACCTCTTTGAGATGAGCCATCCCAAACCAGAGACTTTTCATCTCCTGTCATCTTCCTTTCTCATGGAGAAACACTGCAGTATTCAGTAGTTACTGGCCCTTTCTTCTGGACACACAAAAACCAGCACTATGCGTGTTGACTCAGGAGTAAATTCTACTTTGTGAAAGGAAACCCATGTCAAAGTAAATGTGCATAGCACTGTAGAATTAGCCTACATGTCAGTGACCCTGTTTAAGATCCTTGCATGTGTCCAATAAAAAATTCTGTCTGCAAAAAGTATGTGAGCTGTGTGATCAAAAGTTTTGGACTATAGGCTTCAGTTTATTTTCTAACCAATGTTTTATTTAAGCTAGCATACCGTCAGGTATGCAAGCCTCTTCATGAAATATATGAATTTCAAAATAAGAAACTTGTGAGATCTCTAACTGGAAACTAACCTAATACTTGTGATACTGCTACAATCATAGAAAGTGTTGCAACTGAACAGTGAAGTACTTCAACTCCGCTACTTCCTATCTACAAGTTCTGTTGAGTAATAGCCTCAGAATTAGGTGTAGGAGTTATAGTGGCAAAACCACATAAGTGAACTGATCATAAGGCCTAGGTATATTTATGTGCAAATTAAGTTACTCTGAAAACAGAAACATTTTCTTTCAAGTAGATGTATTCAGCACTGGAAAAAAGCTGCAGTGGGTAAGAAGAAAATAAGATCATTTGATGTCACTATTTATATCTAAGTATTCTTGCAGAGCTGGACAAATATTTCCGATTCACATAAAATGTTCAGGAGATTAGGGATGTACATTTCATTTACTAAAGCAATCATTTAAATTAATAAAAATGTTATCACTTAAAAATTAACAGACTCTCATTCTACTCTGCATAAACAGTCCTACATATTTGTTTTAAAATATGTGTTTAAAAATTAACATGTCAATGTGTTTCAGTGTCAGTCCTGTGGACAGATGATTAACAGTAACATCAGCAAGAGAAAACACAGGTTCTGCAGGCAAAAATGATTCTGGAATATATGGGTAATAATGACAGTTTCCCAAGCCTTGGAAAACATTTACAATAATAAACCCATCTACTGAAGATGGCATCCATTTTTTCAGACCCCACTTCTGTTTAGGGATAGCTGAATTCTTCAGATTTTGGGATACCACCAATATTCAATTTTGAAAAATGTGACCCATTATTTGGGGTTTTTCCATGCCTGTATGCCAGTTTTAATAGGTACTTTTAGTACTGATGACCTAACTCAATTAGAGCTTGTAAATTACTGTTGATCAGCCATAACGGGTCTGCCTGACAGGTATGGAACCAATCCATTATCTAGCAACCTAAGTTAAACCAAGAGGTAATAAGCCTACAAAGGGTTAGCTATCACTTACATGGCAGTAATCAATTAAAACTTATCTATCATCACCCCTAATATGAGGCTGACAAATTCAAAAACTTGTTCTTCTCAAGAAAGCTATCACAGGCAAAAGGTAAATATTTCTCCATTGGAAACTATTGCCAGGACTTTGTCCAAAGATACAAAATCCAAACCTGTTGCTGAATCTAGGCAGTCTGGGCTTGGTCAGTGTTTAGATAAGGCATCATTTGGGAATATTATGTATGCCACCTTGTTCTAAAGAAGGATGTAAAATAAAATAATTCAGATTCAAACTACCCATGCATTCTTAGCCGCCCTGAGCCTACATTGCGGGGAGGGCAGGGTACAAATGTGATTAATAAATAAATGAATAAACCAATGTCACACAACCACTAAAAAAAATCCCTGATCCAATATGTATCTAACCATGGAAATATCCATGAACAATTGGTAATACCTTTTTCTAGAATTCCCATGATGCTATAGTAATGTATGTTTACTATATACGTGAAACTCTGCAAGTCTTTGGCTCAAACACTGTACTTACTCATTCCTGCCTACATTCCTTTTGTTTTATTTTGGCAGATTTACTTCTCCACAGACTGCATGGAACAGCCGAACTGAAATCATCTAAGTAAACCGTTTGCACCCTCGTAAAAATCTTCTACACGATACACTGTTCTCCAGGTTTACTGGTGCCATCTACACAAACCTACTAGGTTGTTTCTTTGAACCAAGTGAAACTTACTTTTAAGTAGGACCAGGCTGTTTATCCCTAAACCAGATAGAAATAAAGCATGGGCTGGGATCCAAAGACCTGCTTAGGCTCACACAAAGGGCTTGTGTTAGTATTTTCTTTGAACAGCTGACCCCAATGCCATAGCACAAAAAGATCATGGATCTCTCCTCAGTTTCAAAAAAATATTTCCATTAGTATGTGCTACTGTTTAATGGACAAGGCCATAACCCATTTGGGCTTCCTGAACCCATTCTATAGTTCCTAGCCATAACCTGCAACTTCCTTGTTTGAAAAGGGTGGGCTTATTAGCATAATACAATTAAATAATGCTACTTAATGAAAACATAATGTCATTAAATGAAAATATCAGCTAAAATGCATTAACTATTTCAGTGTATACTAAAGAAAACCATCACAATTACCTAGTAAGACAGGATCAACATATAGTCTTATGCTCTGAGAATGAGTGATAGCAGAACCTTCAGTAAAGTTTCTCTCCATTCAAGAGAAAGTACACAGTCTCTAAAGAGTAGCATTGTTCATGGCAGAGCACATCAGAAGGACCTCAGTTCTCATGGTAGAGGATTTCAGGTAGTAGATCTGGGAATTATTTGCCCAAGACATTAGAGAGTTGCTCTTAATTAGAGCTGAGACCAAAGTACCCAAAAAGAATATTTGAATATTTTTGGCAGCATCAAGAAGCACCTGCTTTTCAGCAACTTTTCAATTACTTCTTTACAACTGTTCTGTTCAGAACATACTTAATTTTCCTTCAGTAGTATCTATAAAGTAGCAACCTCAATACTTAAAGTATGTGCGTTGTTTGAGAAAGGACTAGCAGTGCCATCCCAAGCCAAGTTACACTCTTCCGAGGTCTTTTAAGTCAGTGGGTTTATAAGGGTACAACTCTACTTAGCCTATCACTGTGAGACCTACACAGTAAAAAAGTGAGGTGCATGCACTGTTTCTCATTTCCATAATGAAAACAGTATTGATTTCAACATAAAATGCAAAATTTCAGCAAAATATGTAATTGATTCCTAAACCTTGAATCATAAACCTTACTGCTGAAATATACTAAATGTATAAATGCAATTTAAAACACTCCAAACACACACAGTGGGCAATTTGTGTGATTTAACAGAAAAAAATCAATTTGCTTTTTTATGTAGAAATCTTTGTCAAAAGCAAAATTTATTAGAAAGCTCTATTTTAATGGAATTTACATCCACAAAGTGATGCTGCAATGCCCATCAAACCTTCATCTCAAATGCATTTCTAATACCCACCCAATGTCCGATGGAACTTCCAAATAGGTGTTTAAGACTAACAAGAAACACACAAGCTTTGAAACAGGGCAAACCTTGACAATATCCATACATAATCACCTACATTCTTTCTAATACTATCTGATATTAAAATATATACAGATTTTGATTTTATATAATCAATACAGTTATGACAAATCTCATCTATCCTTTCTTAATCATGGAACTATTTAACTGCAGTCCTTAAGTCCTAGAACCCTTTTCCAATTTAAGAATGTCTGAAGCATGAAGACTGGAATTCAAAACCTGCGTGCGGATTTCTGCAACAGGGCCCTTCCCACCCTAACCTATTATACCCTCTCACGTTGTAGAAAATCCTGCCAGCAGCATCCAGGGGAATATAAGGGGCTCTAGAAACTGAAATCATAAAACCCTTTGAACATGCACAGAAACAGTTTGATCCTCTGGATCCCAGCCAAAGGCTTGGAATCGCTTCAGCTGAAGCCCGTAACCATACCATCTTTAGACTGACTTCGTTTACATAACTCAATTCAAGACAACAAGTGTATAATTATTAATTTCAAGAAAATGTGTAATCATACTATAATCTATATGACTGCCTTATTACTACACAGTCTTATCAACATATATGGATGGTATATATAAAACAAGCCAAGTCATTAGCGAAAAAACCCACGAAGGGCCCTTTAGATAAAAGACATTTATACACCCAGTAAGAACTAACTTGAGTGTGTGAAAAGATTTTTTTTAGGTGGTATGGGGCAAGATGGAAGACAAAGGGAAAATATTCACGATCCACAACGCCAGCTTAATTCAAAAGACTGGATTTTCGTCTTTCTCCCACCCTGAACACAGGATGAGGCTAAAAGAACAACCCTCTACAATAAGGTTTCCCAGCCAGCCAGAGGCGCAAAGGAAGCCAGTGCTGCACTGCAGGCGCCCGAGGGCGGCCGCCGGCTACCAGGCTTGGCGGCGCGACCTCCCCGCACCCTCAACCAGGCGGGAAATGGCCGTAACGGCCCCGCAGAGCGGTGCGGGCGGGGTGAGCGTTTGTGTGCGAGTTGCGACAGTCTGTTTTCTTCACCAGAAAACACGGCGATGGGTGGAAGACTCGGCATCCGCTCAGCCTCATGGCAACACTTGAGAGAGCCGCAACTAACGGGGGTGGGGGAGCCAGAAAGAGGGAGGCGTCTAAGAGGAAACGAGAAGAGCCGGCTCTATGGGAACCCGGGAAGGAGGAAACGCGTGTGAGGAAAATACCAGAAAACCTAGCTGGCGGATGGTTACAAGCCTCAACGAGGCCGGCGGGTCATGTCGAGTCTAAAAAGCGCGCGGCAGTTACTATAGAAACCAACGGGGGAGAAAGGAACCGAGAGGTGCTGTTTAGCCGCCCTCCCTTCTTCCCTGCGGGCGCGAAGGATTTGTCTCAGGGACGGGGGCGGCTCAAGGTGACTCCAAGCTCAGCCCGGTCACTTCCTCACCTGGCACCTGCAGACGATGTCCGCGTCCTGCGCCAGCAGATCCACCACTTTTCCTTTGCCCTCGTCGCCCCATTGTGCCCCAAGGACTACGGTCACTTTGTTGCCAGGGTGCCGGGAGGCGCCCTCACCGTTCGGGATGGGGGCGGACGAGGAGCCGTTTTCAGACATGGCTCCCGCAGGCAAAGACTCCCCTATCGCGCTTAGGACACATGCGAGAGACGGAGGAAAAAGCGGCGCACCCGAGTCCGCCAGCAAAGACTTCTTCCTCTCGTATAGGAGATGCTGTTACCGCATACAGCTGCTCTCGCCGCCTATCGGCCTCTTAATGACATTCTCCTCCTACGCCGGTCAGTAGACCCACCCCTTATCTGCATAGAATGGAAAGATCGCAGCCCCATGGTTTTCCGCGCGGAACTACATTTCCCAGGGTACAATGCGACAAGTTTCAAGGGACGCGCCACTCAAAAAAGCAATGGGACGTGGACTTGCCGTTGGCCTTACTTACTCAGTGGAAGGGGGCGGGTCATTCAGTGGGGAGTGACAATTAGCGATTGTCTGAGGTTGAGCGTTTGAGCAGCTCTAGGCTGGGACTCTACCAGCGCGAGACGGCGACGGTTGCCGATGGCGGTTGGGTGGTGCTCGTTGGGCGAGACTGATGGCGCCCTTTTCGTGCCCGCTTGGGGGCGCTGGGATCTTATCGCTTTGCCTGTGGCTGAGCGGCTGCTGGGCTGTGTGGAGGTAAAAAATGGCCATAGGAGCAGCCTGACAGAGAAGAGGCGTGGGAGAGTAGCAATCATAACCGCTCGACCAAAGACTGTTTTAAAATTAAAAGGGAAGTCTTTGGGAGATTAAACTTCTAAAGCGGTAATGTTTTTAGGCTAAAAACAAGTTAAATATTTGTTTTTAAAGTCTACAGACAATCCTAATTTGCTCCCTTGAGGAAGCCTCGCTCTGTTCCCTGGTACTTAAATATGTTCGGAATTGGGCTGTCCCTGCACTGCCCTAAAAACGTTTTCTACTAGGCAATAACACCTGATCCTATGTATATTTTCTTTGTTTAAATGGGGATTGCAGATACTGTAAAACTTAAGGGTGTTAGTTAGTTGATCTACGGGTTTGTACTGCTTGAAAGGGTATATAAACCCAGAACCCTATTGTAGGTTTCTATCAAAAATCGAGTTTGGAAATTAAAACAGAACTTTCTGAGGCCAAATTTGCTTTAAGGCTTATTATCATTTTGTGCATTAGCTTGCTTCTGGTTTTGGAATGTTGCTATAGTATGCAGGCTAAGTCTTAATTTATATCTGAAGAAGGGTTAAGGGGAAGTAAGTCCGCCTGGTGACTGTAATTTAAGAGGCTGGCCTCCCTTTTAGAGGCTAGAGGAAAAAGCAAAAGCCTTAATATCGCTTAAATTGTATTAATTTAAGGAAAACAAAATGAAGAGAACCCTTTTTAGTATTATAGCTTAATTAGCTACATGCACTAGGAAAAGCCTTCTAATCTGACAGCAAGGGTGTGTATATGAGTTGTTTCAGGGTATCAAGCAGCAATCTTTGGGGATGTAGTTTATTTGGAGAACTAAGAGGGCAATACTAAACAGGTATACTCAGAATTCTGCTCAGTCTGATTCAGTGAGACCTACTCCCAAGAAGGTGTTTTTAGTATTATACTGTAAAGCCTCTCTGTGCCTGTTTTGCCGCTGACTCTTTCATTTGAAGCACTTGATATGAAGCCACCATAAGACTTCTGCATTTTTTATTTATTTATTTAATTTTCGACTTATATACTGCCCTGACCCCGGAGGGTCTCTGAGCGGTTTACACAGTTGTTTATCCCTAACTAGGGCCACATTATTTGTATGGGGGGGTGATAACCTACCAGCACCCCGGCCGCGGGCTCAGTTGTTATTCAGTTCCTGGCTTGGCCTGGCAGGTCTTCGGCGCTTCACTTCCTGGCACCCGGAGCATAAGGAAACTGTAAAAGGCTGTGAAAATTACAACAGTTCAAGAGAATGCAAAAGGGTTTGTGAAAAGAGTTTGTGGCGGATTCACACGTGTATATCTCTTGATGAATACCAGCTGATTTTGTCTTCAGTGAAATATTGTGTTTAGTTGATATCAAGTAATCTGAAAATTCTTTTACTGGCAATCGATGTGTGATTGCTGTGTGATGGCTAATCCAGACATGAAAGTCATCAATTGATCATAACATAAATGAGTAATGAATAAGCATTTATAAACTATCTCTTTAATCTGGTTGACCTGAGAATCTGCTAATTGTGCAAATGATATTGTTTGTGGCTCAGGAATAGAGAGGGAATGGACTCTTCCTGCAATGAACACCTCTCCTTAGTGCCTGCAGAAGGGAACTTTTCAAAACTTAAGTGCCATAGGAGCATATTTGTACTATCTCTCAATATGCAGTGCACTCCTAGGCATGCATACTCAGACATCCCACAATATTTAATGGTGCTTGTATTAGATTCTCTAGTTTGAACTCCATTCTAGATAGAATAGGGTAGAGACAGGATAGAAATCTAGCTAACTAGGATGGATGAGGATGCAGTATCCATGTCCTGCATTCATAATGCCAAGATGGAGAAATGTGGCAATGTATACAAGAGAGGTGTCAAGCTGGAAGAAAGGAAATAGTCCCTGGGAGTAGCAATCTAGACTTCAAACTTCCTTCTAATAACAGAGGGAAAGGATGCTCTGTGTCCTGACCTCTCTATCTTTCTAACTCTCTTGTAATCTTCCTCTGAAGTCTGAACCAGGAGACAGTGCAAAGCCCCTCTCTTCCAACAATTTGCAGGTAAGTATGTGAAGGCTTGCATCCTTCATGACCTTAGCTAATGTTTGCCAAGGTCTCTAAATGGAGTCAACAATATATTTATTTATTTATTTATTTATTTATATTTATAGTCAACAAGAGAGTGCAAAAGGGATACAATCTCAAAAATGACAGAATGATTTCTGTCCGATTCCAAGGCAAACCATTCAACATCACAGTAATCCAAGTCTATGCCCCAACCACTGATGCAGAAGAGGCTTCTATGATGACCTACAACACCTCCTAGAACTAACACCAAAAAATGATGTCCTCATCATCATAGGGGACTGGAATGCTAAAGTAGGAAGTCAAAAGGTAACCGGAATAACAGACAAGTTTGGCCTTGGAAAGCAAAATGAAGCAGGGCAAAGGTTAACAGAGTTTTGTCAAGAGAACACACTGGTCATAGCGAACACCCTTTTCCAACAACCTAAGAGGCGACTCTACACATGGACATCACCAGATGGGCAACACCGAAATCAGATTGACTATATAATTTGCAGTCAAAGATGGAGAAGCTCTATCCAGTCAGTAAAAACAAGACCTGGAGCTGACTGTGGTTCAGATCATGAGCTACTCATTGCAAAATTCAGACTTAAACTGAAGAAAATTGGGAAAACCACGAGGCCATTCAGGTTTGACCTAGATCGCATCCCTGATGAATATACAGTAGAGGTGAAGAATAGATTCAAGGGTCTGGATTTGATAGATAGAGTGCCTGAAGAACTATGGACAGAGGTTCGTGACATCGTACAGGAGGCAGCAATCACCACCATCCCAAAGAAAAAGAAATGTAAGAAAGCAAAGTGGCTTTCTGATGAGGCTTTACAAATAGCAGAGGAAAGAAGGAAAGCGAAAGGCAAAGGCGAAAAGGAAAGATTTACCCAACTGAACGCAGATTTCCAGAGAACAGCAAGGAGAGATAAGGAGGCCTTCCTGAATGAACAGTGCAAAGTAATAGAAGAAAACAATAGAATGGGAAGGACTAGAGATCTCTTCAAGAAAATTGGAGAAATCAAGGGAGCGTTCCATGCAAAGCTGGCCATGATAAAGGACAAAAACGGTAGGGACCTAACAGAAGCAGAAGAGATTAGGAAAAGATGGCAAGAATACACAGAAGAACTATACAAGAAAGACCTCAATGTCCTTGACAAACACGACGGTATAATCACTGACCTTGAGCCAGACATCCTGGAATGTGAAGTTAAATGGGCCTTAGAAAGCATTGCTAACAACAAAGCTAGTGGAGGTGATGGTATTCCAGCTGAGCTATTCAAAGTCTTAGAAGATGATGCTGTTAAAGTTCTGCACTCCATTTGCCAGCAAATTTGGAAAACGCAACAGTGGCCACAGGATTGGAAAAGATCAGTATACATTCCAATCCCAAAGAAGGGCAATGCCAAGGAATGTTCAAACTATCGCACAATTGCACTCATATCACACGCTAGCAAGGTCATGCTCAAGATCCTACAAGCTAGGCTTCAACAGTACGTGGATAGAGAACTACCAGAAGTACAAGCTGGGTTTCGAAGAGGTAGAGGAACTAGAGATCAAATTGCCAACATTCGCTGGATTATGGAGAAAGCAAGAGAGTACCAGAAAAATATCTACTTCTGCTTCATTGACTATGCTAAAGCTTTTGACTGTGTGGATCACAACAAACTATGGCAGGTCCTTAAAGAGATGGGAGTACCAGACCACCTCACATGTCTCTTGAGAAACCTGTATAAGGGCCAAGAAGCGACAGTTAGAACCGGATACGGAACAACTGATTGGTTCAGCATAGGAAAAGGAGTACGACAAGGATGTATACTGTCACCTTGCTTATTTAATATATATGCAGAGTACATCATGCGAAATGCTGGCCTGGATGAATCACAAGCGGGAATTAAGATTGCTGGGGAAAAGATCAACAACCTCAGATATGCAGATGATACCACTCTAATGGCTGAAAGTGAAGAGGACCTAAAGAGCCTCTTGCTCAGAGTAAAAGAGGAGAGCGCAAAAGTGGGCTTGAAGCTCAACATCAAAAAAACTAAGATCATGGCATCCGGCCCCATCACTCCTTGGCAAATAGAAGGGGAAGTCGTGGAAGTAGTGACAGACTTCACGTTCCTGGGATCCCAGATCACCGCAGACTGTGACTGCAGCCATGAAATTAAAAGACGCCTGCTCCTTGGGAGGAAAGCGATGGCGAACCTAAACAGCATGATAAAAAGTAGAGACATCACTCTGCCAACAAAAGTCCGCATGGTCAAAGCAATGGTATTCCCATTAGTCATGTATGGCTGCGAGAGTTGGACTATAAGGAAGGCCGAGCACCGAAGAATAGATTCTTTTGAACTATAGTGCTGGAGAAGACTCTTGAGAGTCCCTTGAACTGCAAAAAGATCAAATCAGTCAATCCTAAAAGAAATCAACCCTGACTGTTCCCTGGAAGGCCAGATAATGAAACTGAAGCTCAAATACTTTGGCCACC